GAGAGAGAGAGAGAGAGAGAGAGAGAGAGAGAGAGAGAGAGAGAGAGAGGGCGTCAGCCAGTTGACCGTTGGCTGTGTGTGTGTGACCGTTGGCTGTGTGTGTGTGTGTTAGAGAGAGAGAGAGAGAGAGAGAGAGAGAGAGAGAGAAGATCCAACGTTCAAATCAGAATGAATCTTCCATTGCGATAACGTGGAAGATTCAGAGAGAGAGAGAGAGAGAGAGAGAGAGAGAGAGAGAGAGAGAGAGGGCGTCAGCCAGTGTCTGATGCTGAGTTTGGTGCACCAAACTCGGTGTCAGACACTGGCTGATGCCCTCTCTCTCTCGTTCGTCCCCCCCTTTCCCCCCCCCCCGGCAGCGCCCGTTTCTTTTTCGTTTGTTACTTCAGATATTCGTCGTTTTTTTTGTTTTTTTTTTTTCGTGCCCGTTTTTTTGGGACTACCGGTTGCACGGAGGTGGGTACCCCGCCCGACGCGGCGCGTAACGGTCGCGTCGGCTTTTTCAAGCAAGGCGAGGTACTGGTGGTTTAAAAAAGTTCTTGGATCAACAGCTCTCTTTCTGCTTGGTCGACGGTTTCCCTCATTTTCTGTTGCCTTGTTTTATTTTCCCTCGTTTTTTTTGCCCCTCTGGGTCACCCAAGCTCGTAATATTCCCTACTCGTGTTCTGCAATGTCGGTTTCTTCTTGTCGTTACGTTTCTTGCTCGCTTCCGCAAGTTTCTGTCGCTTGTTTGACACACACACACTCTCCTGCACATCTTATGGTGTGAGTAAAGTCGACCACTTTTCTCTTGCAGGGGTAGCTCTAACTCTGGGCGATGTACGGCGTTCAACTTTGAAAACAGGGCCATCATTCTTTGTTTGATGATGCATCTTTCAGCCTTCGACTGATGCTCTGGAACCAAGACAGTTGATCACTAGTTTCGGTTGTGGAGGTTTGGGCATTTGGCCGACTGATGAGATGATGAAGGTGCTCTGTGAAACGGCGTTCGACGAGAATGCTCACAAGTTAGCGCACGCCAGGCTCTCTGGGTCACCAGCATTTTTTAGAATGAACAAGTGGATGCCGGCTGCGGACCGGTGTCGTCCACTAATAGGGTGGGGTCGCAGATGTACATCCAGCAACGGGTGGCGGAAACCAAAATTGGGGGGGGGGGGGGGGGGGGGGGGGGGGGGGGGGGGGGGGGGGGGGGGGGGGGGGGGAGGGGTCATGGTATGTGGACCGGGTGGCAGCATCTTGGCTGGCCGGACCAATCCAGGGCAGGTGGGCAATGCCATGCGGGTTGGGGGGTGCAAATGACCCTGGGGAAAAAAAAAACAAAAGAAACAGAAAAGAACCGGGGCAAGGGTCATGGTATCATGGTATGTGGACCGTTTGGCAGTATCTTGGCTGGCCGGACCAATCGGGGGAAATGGCACACGGGTTGGAGGGTGCAAATGACCCCGGGGAAGAAAAACAAAAGAAACAGAGAAGAACCCATGTAATGGTACAGTCGTCAACTGTTGATCCGATCAAGAATGCACGAAAGTGAATTAATTAAGCTCTTTCACGCCCCCTTTCGGAACAGCACGAGGACTCGAGCACTTGACTGGTCGGTGATGGTAATGCTGCTTGTCTACAGCCAGGCCTCCTCTGGCCAGCCAGGCCGCTCTGCTTTGTGAGCCTCTCCCCTGCCAGGCCGTTCTGCTATGTACTTCCGTTCCAACATGCCCGGGTTGCTCACGGCCATGGATTGAGGGCTATGGATTCTAAACAGTTGGTGCGTATACAGACTGGGCTGACGATGAAAAGAAGTCCGTCTGTGGGGAAGTGAGGAAGGATGTGAGGGCCATCGGACTGGCCTAACTACACTGCTCGCATCTGCACAAAAAACACGTATCTGCCCACGTTCTAGAGGAAGATTTGTTTTCATTTTGCTCATTTGGTGCGCGTAGTGTAGTGAGGCCTATTCCTTCATCTGGTCGCGTCACATGGCGGCGTATCTGCCCATAATAATTCTCATATTTCACATTCGGCGAGTAGTGGAGCGAGGCTCATTCCTTGATCTGACAGAGTACGGATTCGAACTTCGGGTTGTATACAGGCTGGCTGGGCCTCAAAGCCTGAGGCAGGCTTAGCATGGGTTTGTCTGTGTTCCTTGTGTTTTAAAGACGACGTGCTTTGTTAGATGACTGTGTAGCGAGGCATGCTGGGCACAATTTGCAGCAACACATCGCTCCTTTGGAAGACCTCTGTTCTGAAGTGGGCGCCTAATCTCCTTCCTGTATTGGTGCTGACCTGATACAGAGGCTGACCAGGTTGGAGGGGTACAGGCTTATCGTCTTTGTCAGCAGATGAGGGCTCAGTCCACGTCGTTACGGCAGCTTGCTGAGTTATTTCCATGATGGTGATTTTACTTGCGTTGGTGATGTGATGTCGAATGTAAATCAGCTATGTGGTGTCCTCTAATCAACTGGGACTGAGCTCTGGGCGTAGTAGCGGTCGTATACACGTAGGTCTGGCTGTAGTAACATGGCAACGACATCCAGGAAGGTCCTTGGCCGAGTATGCCCTCAGCGTTGGGGAGCTAGATGTGCAGATCCACTTAGCTGCTCCTGTAGCACATGTATGTGCCAAGTGGAGAGTTGTCCGGTGACATGCTGACGAGTAATCGTGTTGCATAAGCTGTGTGGTGGTAATGCTGCCGTCTTCCCCTGAGTAAAACAGTGTGGCCATTGTCTTTGTACCCAGACTGAAAGTGGTCCCCAATGCAGTGATAATGACTGTGAGCCCTATTCGGGGGAAGATGGAGCAGCACTGTTTCATGCCGTCTTCCCTGTATTCTCTGTGTTCGTCTCTGCTTGTGAAATTGTGCGTGAGGCTAACATCCTGAGTGATTCCCTCTTCGTGGTGTTGGTTTTTGCGATGGGGTCTCTTTCGGTTGGAACACCCATGGTTCCCCTACCGTTCTTCCTCCCACCCTTTTTCTTTATTCTACTGCGCTACACCACTCTGGGTTGGCTACTCCCATCCCGTCTTCCATGTTCCTTTTCCCTTCCTCTTCCCTTTCCTCTTTTTCTTTATTGTACTGCGGTTGGGGTTGTCTTGATTACAGAGCAAGCAGAGTCGCCATCTTTGGGTAGGCGGCGTATCAAGTTCGGTGACCCGCGAGCAGCTTCATGCCGAGTTTGAGAGGTTTGGGCAGCTGGAAGATGTGAAGTTCCTACGAGACCGGAATTGTGCGTTTATCGACTTCATTAATCAAGAAGATGCGGTGTCTGCTGTCGAGGCGTTAAACGGGAAGAAGTTTGGAGACGATCATCTACGAGTAGATTATGGGAGAACTCTACCGTCTCGTCATCAGAGGGTTAGATATTGCGGCGTCCCTCTTCTCTCCCCCTTTTCCTCCCTCTCCTCCTTCCTCCCTCTCCTCCTTCCTCCCTCTAATGTCCTTTGTCTCCTTGCGCCTTTTCTTTCCTTCTCTATTTCAACAGAGAGCTCTCTATTTTGCTTAACGCAAATTGAGGATTGTTGTCATCGCTAACCATCAACCAATTCATGTGGTGCCCAGACCGTTCGGAATGTTTTTTTTGTTAACATACGTTTTGTTTTTGCTCGACTTTCTGTTCTTTCCACTGTGCACAGTGTCTAGGTGTCTGTTACTTGAATCCAGCTCCTACGATAACCCGTAGTGAAAATTTTGGGTCTGTCTGTCTGTTTGCCTCTCAGTTGCACTCCCAGTGTGTGTGATTTGATTCTAACCATGTAAAACAGAACCCCAATTATAAGCTTTTATGCGACATGTCGCTTTCAGTGCGTCCATTGTTCGGGGACTGTCTAGGAGTTTCAGGAATTCCTCCGGGTCTTGGATTGTGTGACTCAACTGTTCTGCAACACGTGGATGGAAGAATCGTCTCGTATATCAGACCGATTGTTGTCTAGATGGTTATGTACATTCTGGCAGAGTCATTTCTGAAAAATACGAGGCAAAGTGGCCTACGTGACAGTCAATCCTCCTCTAAGGAGTAATCAGGGCTGGTCAAGGATCCTTCAGCCAAACGAAAGGAGGTTGTGAGGGTGTTCACCATGTATTCATTTTTGACTTGCCGGGGGAGAAGGAACCGTACTGACGCTCTCCTGAATGGACAAGGAGCCAGGACCATAAGGACCAGTTATTTGAAAAAACAAAAACAAAAAAAAAAACCAGAATTGAAGATCAATGTTTACACTCTGTGTAAGTCCACTGTGAATGCTTATACGAGCTAACCATTTGCTTCGAACGCAACTTCCCACCTTTTGCTCTTTTCACACCTTTCTATCCACACCTCTCTGTTCTAACCTGCTCGCTCATCTCCCTTACCTTTTGTTGGTCGACCTTTATTGGTCTTTTGGTCAATAGTTTTTTCTCCACCCCTGCGGTTCACACCTTCTCTTCCTCCACCACCTCTCCTTTTCCTCCTCCATTCCTTTCCCTCGATGGCTCCTGGTCAACCTCGCCGGTTTGGTTGCAGTTGGAACACATAGGTGAGGTGAAGAGTGTGCTTATGAGGTGGCTGTGCTTCTTCTGTTTTATAAGCTGCAGTTCCATGTCGGTTTATGTGCTCAAGGTGACAAGGTATTGCACTTAGAGTAGGATAGCGCTCTTTCCAGATAGAGAAACAGAATGTACTGGACGCAATGAATGATAAGAGGGGAAACGGCTGGCTTAACATGTGATGGTTGTTGGGAAACCTTTCGGACGGGGTATATCGGTATGATTGAATCTTGTATTCCAAGCTGGTATTTCCCTGTTGGGTGGCACTGTGGGTCACTGAATCGGTCTTGCTTGGCTGAATCTGGTATTTCCCTGTTGGGTGGCACTGTGGGTCACTGAGTCGGTCTTGCTTGGCTGAATCCTCCGCAGGAAGGTCGCGGGGCTCGATATGGCAGTTATGATGACCGCTTCCCTCCACAGAGGGATCACGGGTTCTCCTATCAGGTCTGCTTCACCATCTCTGGTAGATTGAAATGTGAAATTATAAGTGTATGTATGGATCTGCAGCTAAAGAATGGTAATACTAAGTGCCAATGATGTCAACCATGTGGCAATCTGGTGAAATGGCCCTGGGTCTATGTAGTTTATTCTCAATTTCAGCCTGCGCTTTTTCAGTCCAATGCTGCTTTTTTATGCCTTTTTCAACCGATTGGTGATCTTCCATTCGACTCAAAAACGATCTCGCCTGTCCATAAAGTGTGTAGCTATTTTGACTTTCAGCTGTGTTACAAATGAGGCCGCCCCTGTCACCTTGGTTGCCTGGGCGGCATAAAGTGTGTAGCTATTTTGACTTTCAGCTGTGTTACAAATGAGGCTGCCCCTGTCACCTTGGTTGCCTGGGCGGCTGCCTGGCTGGGCAAGGGCCAGGGAATGCCGCTGTTAAAACAAAGGAAAAAAGAATTCCGAAAAAAAAACTATGTTGTGTAGAAAAAAAACTGAATATATATTTTGCCTCAGAGTCACATTGGCATTCTTTTCTTCGGCAAACTAATATATCCTGATGAGTCGGTGAAACTCCGAGGAAACAGTTTGCCACAGCCCCTCGTTTGTTGTCCTCTTCTCCCTCTCTGCCGTTAGTGTTTCACGGTCGCCACCTTCTTAGTGTTTCACGGTCGCCACCTTCTTTTCTTCTCCCTCCTTGCCCATGAAACACTAACGAGTGGCAAACTCGTTAGTGTTTCACGGTCGCCACCTTCTTATCCCTCGTTTGTTGTCCTCTTCTCCCTCTCTCCTGAAACCACAAGTACCTTGCCCATGCAAGCTTGAGTGACCCGGCTTTCAGACCTGTCCCTCAAGGCAGCACCTCGTGAATGGAGGGCGACCAAATGCGCATGCTTCTAAATTTCCAAGAAGAGGTAAAACTGCGCTTTCTCCTCTTCCTTCCGATGCCCATGGGGGCTAAATATGCGGGGCTTTAAAAAAAAAAATGATGTGATGCTTTGACAGCGTGTGTGCATATGCACCTATGGACACAAGCGTACACTCGCGAGGGGCCCCATTTTGCAGTTCGCAACTTTCGACTAGTGGGTTGTATATCAAATGATGCACTGCTTTTGTCAAGGGGTACTTGGATTGCAGTGTTGATGCAAGCTAATGTGCCCAGCTGTCTGTAAGACGTCACTTTGCGTTGGGTTGGGTGGTGTGGGGCCGAAGACCTAAAGTGAGTCCAATTTTGAGAGAGTGTTGAGGTTCAAGTTCGTGACGCATTGCGGAAAGTCCACTGAATCTCTCTCTGTCTCTCTCAAAGTTGTGTGTGATGATGGGTGAGGGAGTGTTTCACTGTAGTGATAGCAACCACTTCTGGTGACGATGAACATGCCATCTCAGCTGTAAAGTGTGAACGAGTGCCAACGGGAATCCATAACTGTGGGCAAGTTCTACAATTCTAGCTGGATTGTAAGGACTGCCAATGTGAATCGATAACTGCAGTCAAGGTGGTGCGTCTGATGATCTGTGTGTGCGCCATGGCGCATGCTTAAAGCAGCCTACGGACCATCAAAAGTTATCGAAACTGTATAGAATTCTGTCTAAAAAGCAGATGAAGCAGGCGCGGAAGAAAATGATTATGAGTTGATGAAATTGAGAATGGGCCTAGTTCAGTTGTGTACACCCATTATTACTAACTGTTGAAACACAAACCTGAGTACACGGAGTTCAAATTCAGATGAAAGTAGATGAATGAAATCAAAGTATTCTGAATTACCTGGGGCTGGTCAGTTCAATAGTACGTCAACGCGATTGCCCTTTCTTTCTTTTTTTCCCCCTCTTGAAATGGAGTGTATAGAAGCGGGAAGCACATTGTGCATGTGAAAGTGAAATGAGCACTGCAGATTTTGAATGTGATCGTAATAATGGGCACAGTGGGAATGAATTCCGTTGGCTTGCCCTGGTTGTGTTACATTCCATGTAATTTCAATGGGCTGCTGGGATGAGTGAGCTGTTTGAAGGGTACGTGATGAGAGCAACAATTTCTCAGTTTTTGTGGTGTGCTGGCTGCTAACAAACCGGATCTATCCATCAAAAACTAGTCCACTGTCGGGTGGTGGTGTGCTCTTCGGAATAGTAGCAGATTTTTAAGAACGTATGTATCATTATTGATAGAGGACCCGAGACTGTGAAGAGCTGTCTTCGTCTTCGTACGGATTTGAACTGATGGATGGGATATCGTTCTTTGTCCTCTGATGGTTGTGTGATATCGATTGTGTCAGGGGGGCCGCGGTGGCAGCGAAGATGTGCCTAGTTCGTGCTTGTGGGTTGGCTTCCCCGAGACTCTGAAAGTCACCGAGGATGGCCTTCGGGAGTCATTCAGTCCATTTGGTGATATTGAAAGGGTGAAGACTTTCTCTGGTAGGACTTACGCCTTTGTGCAGTTCACAAACATAGAGTGTGCGAGAGTGGCGAAGGATGCTCTGAATGGGAAGCTTTTCAATGATCCGCGGGTGGACATTCGCTTCTCCAAGAGTGAGATTCAACCTGTAACAGAGAATGGACGGGGGTACGATCGGTTTGGCGATGGGGGTCGAGGAATGGGCCCAGGTAGTGGTAGGCACATGGGCACAGATATGAGAAGGGGAGAGTCTCCAATGCTTGCTCCTGGAGGAGGCATGAGTGGAGGGCCTATGGCCTTAGGAAGTCGTGGACCCATGGGTGATCGTTTTGCAGCTGGTGGCATTGGTCGTGGAGTTGGGATGGGATCGGGAATGAGGCCAGGTAGCCCTGGGATGCGTGGATCTGCACAGGGTATGGGACCTGGTCCGGGGATGGGTGTCTCTCGAAGTGTGGGGGTGGAGCGGGGCATGGGTCCAGGCAGAGGCATGGGGCCTGGGATGGGAATGGGACCGGGTCGTGGAATGGGTCCGGGTGGCATGGAGGATATGGATTTTGGGCCCGGTCCAGGTAGGGACGGAAGGATGAGACCCGGTCATCCGGATGAGGGTTTTGCACAAATGGATGATCTCTCACCACGGGAGCCGAAGAGGATACGGTTGGCAGGGGGGTATGGTGCCATGGCTCGTCCAGACATGAATATAGCAGAGAGGCCGTACGATGGATTTGATGGCCAACCACGTGTATTTGGCCCTGGACCAGGGTCGGAGGGCGACGGAGCTTATGACCATGGAGTGGGAATGGGGCCTGGTCCTATGGTTGGACGAGGGGGTGGAATGCCCCCCCCTAATGTGGGACCAAGGCCCCTTGGCACTGGTGATGATGGAGGAGCACGAGCTGCTGCGGGTATGACTATGGGTGGTGTTCCCGGAATGCAAATGGGACCCAGTGGCCCGGTTGGGCCTCGACCCCCAGGTCCCATGGCTGGAGTACCAGGTGGTCCACCAGCAGGCCATGTACAAGCTGTCCCATCAGGTCCTCCTGGGTTCAGCCAGATGGATGGTCCACGCCCGTCCTCAGCAGGGATGCAGGTCGGTCCTAGGCCCGGTGCAGTGCCTCCCATGGGTGGTAATGTTTCTGGGGGACCTCAAGCGGGTAATATGGATATGGGAGTTCGACCAGTGTTTGTTCCCGCATCAAATGTAAGGCCAGAGAGAGGTGCTTGGGGAAGTGTTTTTAGTGACAACATCAGATGGAGTGGTACGATTGCCAAGTCGGGGACTCCCGTTTGTCGTGCACGCTGTTTCGCCATCGGCAAGGGAATTGATTCTGTCATGTAAGTACCCATCATAAACAGTGGCCTCATTATCAGCATCTGCAGCCTCGTTGCTTTCTTATTCCCCTCTCTCCATGTCGAGGTCTGTTTGTTTTCTCCTCTTGTTTATGCCCTGTAACTGAACAGGGCATAAACTTCAAAGGACTCTGTTTGTTTTGCTTAACTTCATGACTACTAAGGGCAGGCTTGATTTTCACATCCATTTGTGTTTCGTTCCACCTCTCGAAGTTCTCCTTTTTGGCATTGATATTGTGGCTGCTGTGCTCTTTTTGCCACTGATGTTTTTGCAGACCGGATATTGTCAACTGAACAGCAAGAACCGATTTGGAGACTCATGTAATGCTTTCCCTCTGCATGTTGGGGACTTCCATGAGTAAGGGCAGGTTTGGCTTTCACTTCAAGTCCATGTGTGTTCTGTTCCACTTCGGTTTTGTCACTGATATCGTGGCTCGTACGTTTTTTTTGCCGCGGATGTTCTTGCAGACCTGATATTGTCAATTGCACGGCGAGAACGGATTTGGACACTCTTGCGAAACACGTTACCACTGCTGTAGATTTTGGTGTGGTGTACTTCCTGCCAGAGAGCGAGCCAGACATGCCGCCATATCAGGACTTCATGCATTATCTCGGAGAGAAACGTAGAGCTGGGGTGGCGAAGTTTGCAGATAACACAACCATGTTCCTTGTGCCACCATCTGATTTCTCAGCACAGGTGCTAAAAGTCAGTCAGTCAGACTGCCTGTTTGGGGTGGTCCTGAAGTTCTCTCCTCAACCAATTATGCAGCAGCAGCAGCAACAACAGCAACAACAACAACAACCACAGCAAACAGCACAAATGCAGGCAATGCAGCCACCATCGCAGCAACAGCAGGTAGCACAGCCGATGGCAGTGCAGCAGGCACAGCAGCAGCAGCAGCACATGCAGTCATTGCAAATGAGGGCTGGGGTTGGGGGGGCAGGTGCAATTCAGCAACAGATGTCAGCAATGCAGCAGCAGCAGCAGCAGCAGCAGCAGCAGCAGCAGCAGCAGCAGCAGCAATACGGTCCTCAACAGCAGCAGCAGGTGGCACCTGGTCAGCATGTGCTCCAAGCGGCAGGGGCAGCAATGCCAGAGTCCTTTGGAGGGCTTGCGTCTGCATTCCGGACGTTCCCAGCCAGTCAAATGCCGCAGCAGCAAATGCAGCAGCCACAGCAACAACAGCAGCCTCAGCAGCAGCTCCATCAGCTGCAACAGCCCATGGCTCAGCAGCATCAGCAGGCGCAGCAGAGTCAAATGGCCTTGCAGCAGCAGCAACAGCAGGCCCAACAACAGCAGCAACCACTCACAGGACCTGTAATGCAAGGTGCGGTTGGACAACCTCAATTGGCGCCTTTTATTCCGGGTCTCTCACAAGAGATCCTTGCATCCTTGACCGCACTCCTTCCACAGGCACATCCGCAATCGCAGGGGCAATATGTCCCGTCTAACCAAGCCTTAGTGGCTGGTGGGATGGCTGCTGCTGCTACTGGCCATGTACCTGTCTCAGTCCAAGGTGGCACGATATCTTCCACAGCTATTGCCAATGTATCAGGGGCTGCTTCTCCAACAATGCAATCCATAGCAGCGTCGGCAGCAACACCCCCTGGCTTCCACCCAGTTGGTCCTCTTGGTCCTATACCTTTACGCATGACAGGAAATATGCTAGGCCTTGGGCTTGCAGGCTTTCCGCCTATGCCAACAGTGCCTACTGCGGTGTCAGGAGGTGTTGACCCTAGAATGCTCTCAGCACCTCCCGGTTATGGACCATCATCTGCAGTGCCTGGGAGCTTCGGACCAATGGGAGTACAGCATCCTTCAGGGTGGAATGTTCAGCAGGATGGTGTGGGAGGGCAGCAGCAGCAACAACCTGGAATGATGCAGGCAGTGCAACAGCAACAACAGCAGCAGATTCAACAGGCCCAACAGACACAACAGTCTCCCTTGCCGCATCAAACTCAGCATGCTGCTCAAAGCGTACATCCATCTCAGATGCCTCAGGGCCAGGCTGGTCAAAATGCTGCTGCAGGTGCCCAACCTCAGCCACAGTCAGCATCTGTTCAGCAGCAAGTTGAGCTCCAGGCTGGGCACCCGGCTGCGCAGCAGCAGCATCCTCAAGCAGTTCAGGGTAGGGGCCAGGTGCCGGTGACAGCAGGTGCAGCGACAGCGATGGCTGCTCAACTCTCACAGCAGGCGCAGACTCAGCCCCAGCAGCCACAGTCGCAGACTCAGCAGTCGGCTTCTCCTCAGGTGCACCAGAGCCAGCACCAACAGCATCACATGTCTCAACAGCAAGTGGTGGTGGGCCAGCATGGACAACAGGCAGTTGTGCAGCAGCAACCAACCAATCCACATTCACAGCAACAGTCACTTCAGGCTAGCACTCAGCAGCAGCAGCAGCAGCAGCAGCTGCAGCAACAGCAGCTGCAGCAGCAGCAGCAGCAGCAGCAGCAGCAGCAGCAGCAGCAGCAGCAGCACCAGCAGCAGCAGCAGCACCATCATCATCAGCAGCAACAGCAACAGCAACAGCAACAGCAACAACAGCAACAGCAACAACAGCAACAGCAACAACAGCAACAGCAGCAACAGCAACAGCAACAACAGCTCCAGGCCTCTGCACAGCAGCAGCAAGGTCATCAGCAGGCATCTCAGCAACAAGCCGCAGGCCAGGCACAGCAGCCTTCGTCTCAGCAACAGCAGCAGCAGCTCCAAACGGTAGCCCAATCGCAAGCTCAACCACAGCCACAGCCCCAGCAGCAACAGCAAGTCCAGGGATCACCAGGTGTAGGCCAGGTGGCTCAGCAGCCGTCAACGAGTGTTCAGCAGCAGGGAGCAATTGGACAGGCGCAGTCTTCACAGGTGCAGGCACAGCAGCAGCAGCAGCAGCCAACACTGTTTCCTCAGCAATCTGCTGCATCAAGGGGCCAAGGGGGCCAGATGGTTTCTGCCACTGCATATTCAGGGCAGGGCTATGGTGGTGCTCCGGGATTCCCCACCGCACAGGCATCTCAGCAGCAGGCCGTCCAGTCCTCACAAATGTCCAGTCAGGCCCAGCGAGTGGTGGCACAGCCGCAGGTGTCTATGCCTGCAGCACAAACAGTCACAACACCGCCGTTGCCAGCAGCCCAACTTGCACAGCTGACAGCTCTTTTGACCCAACAGAGGCAGTCGACGGCGCCTGTTCAGCAACTCCTGCAGCAACTTCAGAGTGTCCCACAGCAGCAGGTGACTTCGCAAAATGCAGCACAGCAGTCACAAGGACAATCTATTCCTGGAACATCAGGGCCCCAACCGACATCAAGTGCGCAATCAGCTTATGCGCAGAACTGGGCTTTGTCCATGCAGCACCAGCAGGGCCAGCAGCAGGGACAGCAGGCAGGGCAACCAGTAGCACAAGCACAGGTGGCTGCAGTCCAGTCTGCGCTCGCATCTGATCCTAGTGCTCAAGGTGGAGCAGACCAGCAGCGGCGTTTGCAGGCGACCTTACAGCTTGCCCATGCCCTTCTGCAGCAAATGCAGCAACAACAGCAACAAACGCAGCAGCAGCAGCAGCAAACAAAGGTGCAAGGGCCCTCGGAACGGTGAACAGTGCTTGTGTCTCTCATCTTGCATGTAAAGGTGAGTTAAATCTGAATCTCTCTCCGTGTCAATTGTTACCCCAAGAAACTTTCAAAGAGTCAGTTGCCCAAATGTCCTTTCAAAATGTCTTATCCAAATGTCCTCCCTTGCGAGTCTTATCCAAATGTCCTCCCTTGTGAGTCTTATCCAATGTCCTGCCTTGTCTATGCCTTATCGCAGAACACATCAATGAGTGTGCTTATTTTCCAACCTCCAGAATATGGTTGATTTGTTGTCCCACTACTGCGATGGGGCCTGCCGACTCTTGCTCAGCACGTTCATCTGCACAGATGGTGGTGATGATAGGAAGATGTTTGATGATTTCCTCAGCTGCGTTCTGAGTGTAAACAGGTATGAAGCTCATCCATCTGTCAGTGTGGAGGCATTCCTCGCTAGTAATGTCCACAGAAAGTCGCAAACGTGTTGTTCTCTGTGTAATGATGTGTGGTTGATGTCCTACATTGTCCTCTCCCATAAGGACATCAGCATAGTACTGTACGTCTGTGTATGTGACTGTTCCGGACAAAAGCCTAATACTGGTACTGACTTGAGCAAAGCAGCTGGTTCAGCGTGAACTCTTGTGTTGCAAGCCTGACTGTGTGGCTTGCAAACAGGGAGGAGCTTCTGCTGCTTGCTTCTTTCCTTTTTGAGCTCATGTTTTTTATCGCTGCAAGCACTTACACACCGTGTAGGTCTGTCTCTGTACCAGTATTGTACCTTCTTTGCTTCCTCTGGTTTGCACTGACATCCTTGTCATAAAACTGCAGGTGCGAATCTGTTTATCAGCTGGGTATGATCAATAGGCCGGCAGCCTTCCATCATTAGTGCGTTCCCCGCTCCAGCTGGGTATGACCAATAGGCTGGGAGCCTTCCATCATTAGTGCATTCTCCACTCCCACTTCTGCTCTCTTTTCCCGACAACTACAGTACAAAAGCACAGAAAGTTCTTTCTCCTGCAACTTTCTAGCTGAGTACTGGCAAACACACTCAACTCGTATTTTTGCCTGTGGATCGCCACAACTCTGTAGAAACTGCTGCAAACACTAAAGAAACCTGACCATCCAGTGTCGATGTAAACAAGCATTCATTCATGAACTGATCAATATCAAAAGCCTACCAATTGCTCAGAAACCAAGTCCAAATGAGAACCAAACAAACTCACAAACAGCCTACCAATTGCTCAGCAACTTAGTCCAAAAGAGAAGCAAACAAACACACAAACAGCCTACCAATTGCGCAGAAACTCAGTCCAAAAGAGAAGCAAACAAACACATACAGCCTACCAATTTCCCCATCAGTCCAAATGGGAAGGAAGGAAACAATCACACACTTGATGTCATTAACCTTAATCTCAAGCAAAAGAAGCTTCAAAGCAGTATCCAAGCAAAAGACGTCCACAATCCTAGTTACATGTGGTCCCCACACACTTCATGTGCCCAAACAGAATGAGTGCCTAAACACGCACGATGGTCAGGAATGAGTGCCCAAACAGAATGACGTCACATCATCTTAATCCAAACAGAATGAAGCGCAATGGTCAGACACAAAGTGGACACCAAACATAACGACGCACGATGGTCAGGAACGAGTGCACACCGTGTTCCCAGTTCAACACGAGGGTGTGTTAGTTTCGGGGAAAGATGTTAGCCTTCCCTATAAAGGGAAAGTGATGTTAGTCTCCCCTACAAAGGGAAAGGGACAATCCTTCAGCAGACAGCGTTGCAATCAAAGTTTTGAGTATTGCCTCGTTAATGTCGTAAGCAAAACAATCCTTCATTGCTGTGAAAGGAAAACTGTTTATTCGATCGGAACCCATTAACATCCTGTCGAACCGCGAGGTGACTTGAAGGTAGCGGAAGCTGCTGTGTGTCATCTTTATCCAGTTTGGAAAGCAAGTGCTTTTCCATGAAAACTGTGCGTCTTATTATGAGGCACGCTGCAACATACAATTCATCAGCTCGTCAGTATATTTTCCCAGTACTTGCTGCTGATCACAGAGATCCAGTGCAACCTTTTCAAGGTGTAGGTGACCTGTTTGTAGCACATAGCAAAATGCCAGGTCTCACTCTGACATCTTCGATGCTTTCAAAACCACCATTTCTAAAGTGCTTCCTGGACTGCATGTACCACCGATCGGAACCTTTGATCGCTGGAGCAAGGTGGGTAGGGGTTTCAGATTTCTGGGTGATGCAGCAGCGGGGAGATGCTTTGAAACTGTGCGCCGCTGAGATGGGGCCAAAAGATGGCTCTGGTTGCAGTCCTTTCTGTCACCTCAATCAGCGCTCGAATTGATCGAGTGGTTGTTAATGAGGATGTTCCGTCTCAGTCGGCGATCGGATTGGTTGAGTGAATGTGCGTTTAATGCAGTTTACTGTCTTTTAACATTTGGAGATCATGTCGACAAGCCCAAAGCTCATCAATCTCCATTTCCCGAACCAACATCTGCACACAGTCCCGTTGGGGTTTTTCATGTTCGCCACCCAACTGCTTTCCGCCCAAGGTGTTTGTATTAACTTTGTAATCAGCATGCCTGCATATGTGCAAGGAAAACTTGCACGCGCATCCTGCAAGTAGAGCGAAAGTAACACTTGGAAATTGAGGAGCATTGCCATTATCTCAGACGGAGAACCGGCTATCACAGAAACTATATTATTGGAATGACGATCAACACAGAAGTGACAGAACTCCTTCCATGCAACAAATTTGGCTCCAGTTTCTCTATTCCTTGGAGCTATGCTCTCTCATTGAAAACTGGCAGAGTTTTCCTTGGTGTGTCAAAGGCCAGCCGCTGTACGCGAGAGCAATTGACTCTTGAATAGAATGGCCAATCAATGCCTACCAGGTAACAGGTGCACTTCTTTGGCTATGCATCCTGCTCAGTTGCTCTCTCAGATCCACAATCTCTGCTGGAAGTGCCGATTGTGCATCGTAGTGTCGAAAACCTGACTTTCGATTAGTGAATCCAGGTTTAGGCAGCGGGTTGAGAATAGCACACATGCAATGCTAATCGTTTCCATAAGGATGTGTTGCTTGTCAATCACTAGAATTTTGTATAAGGGTCTTGAAGTCTGCGCCGAGGACCAGGCTCTCCCATAATTTGTTCACTCATCTTTGGATTGCCCGGTACGCAACTGCGTCGACATACGACGCTGCTGCTTTTGCCTGCCTGCAGCGGCACAGCTGTTGGCTCCGTCTATCTAGGTGCCTCTTGTTGTGTCCTCTGGGCCTCAATCCACCGAACTAAAGGCATAGGAATATATGACAAAAGTTAACTAAGCAAGCACATGGGGTCGCATCATTGTTATGGCTGGATAAACGATTTGCTGGGTATGGCTCTGGGAGCCTTTTTTCTAGGGTCAGTATATATCCTCCCTGGGAAGCAGGCTGGATGAAATTATATCAACCCGTCCGGTGTAAAGGGTCTTAGCTGGCTGGGAGGAGGCAAGGTCTCTTTCATAAACCCTTCGCATTGCCCTGTTAATTCTTCGCATCCATCCAAATTACTGCACAGCAATTGCTAGGAAACCGTATTACCCTGCAATCGTAGCCTAAAGCATGTACCCGATCACCACAACACATTATTATATCCCTACAACTGCAGCAACATGGCTTGGCATGGGCAGGTGGTGATATTTCCAGGGAATTCGACTTCGACTTCTGTTGGTCTTCTGGCTGGAGTTGTGGGACCCCTGTTCGGTTCCAAGAGGCTCTGTCATCTGTGAGCTGGGGTAGATGGGGAGGAGTTTGGTGGTTGTGATCTTGGGGAGTTTCGGCAGAGCGAGGCAGGTGTGGATGGGAACGCGGAGAGGGGTGGTGGAGCTTCGGGTGTTAGAAGGACGGTATGAAGGATGTGGTTTGGGGGCAGGCACAGAGACACAGAGAGAGAGAGAGAGAGAGAGAGAGAGAGAGAGAGAGAGAGAGAGAGAGAGAGAGAGAGAG